CCACCCACTGGGGGAGGGCTGGTTTCCATAGTGTGACTGGTACTGCGTGCGGCAGGCTGTGGTGCCGACTGGTTTCCATGCCCCCTCGGCCCCTCCCAAGCTGCCCGCAGCTTCACAGCTTCTAGGCCTCGGTTGGGCATCGGAAAAATGGGATGATGCTTATGAGCATCCTCAGCGCGCAGGTGGGGTTAAGTGCCAGGACGCACGCAGAGTGTCTGGCCCCAGGGCAAATCGTGCCTCCCTGGCAGCTGTGGCTACAGCCTGGCCCTTGGAGAGCAAGGGCAAGCCTTCGGACCCTAGCTATTTCCCAGCTGGGAGGCAGCAGTACAGACGCAGGGCCCTGGCCTGCAGCCCCGCCTTCCCTTCCTGTCCGTCTCCACGCCATACCAAAGCAGGAGGCAGGTGTGTTCGCTAGGGACTCAGCGCCCCGCTGCAAATAGCCATCTAGCTGCATGGGCTGCTGTGCTGCGGTGCTGAAGGTCCACAGGAGCCTAGCCTGGTGCCGTCCAGTTGATTCTAGCCAGGGTCACCCCACGTGTCACAGAAGTGTGCTTACGGCAAGCCTTTCGAGTATGAAGTTCACTACCGGCTAGTGAATAAGCACAAGAAAGTCTTTGCTTACCTTTGCTTATCCCTCCCCCGCTCCCTCACTCCCTGCCACCAAATTGATTCTGACCCATGGAGACCTTACAGGACAAAGTAGAATTGCCCCAGTGGGTTTCCAAGGCTGTAAACCTCTCCAAAAACAGGGAGCCTCATCTTCCTCCCAAAGAGAAGCGGGTGGGTTTGAACGCCTGACGCCTCCATTAGCTGCCCATGAGGCCACCGGTGCTCTTTTAATCCACCCCTAGCAAGCACCAAAGATTGCAGACTAGACCCCACCACCACCCCGTGCCACCCAGCAGCTCAAAGCAGGGCTTGAAAACTGTTCATCCTTTGACTACATCCAGCCTGGAGCACTGTTGTGTTTGACCCGCCAGATTTATCAAAGTCAAACCACTGGCCAGCACTTTTTAAAGTCAGGAATTTCACTTACAATTCTGAATTCCCAGCTTCTCTGGAAAAAGCATAAGTTCTCTCAAGACTCAGCCACATTCCACTCATACGACAGGAAGTAGGGGCTAGAAGACTACACACCCAGGCATGCTCCATGGTCTGCAAGCACACATCCACCCACCTCACCCTCTTTAAGTCTAAGTCTTCCCACCCATGGCACTCAGAGCAGAGAGGATGGGGGGGGGGGTGATTCTGAAGTGCTCTCCGGATGGAGGGAATGAGCACTATGTTCTGTGTGAGGAGTAAACAGAATGGACGACTGGGGATAGCCAGTGTTGGCCATTCTGCGCAAAGAACAGAGTGCTCTTGGTCTTAAGTGTTTAGGCATTTGGTGGCCTTGAGGTAAGACGCTAAACCACATGATCTATTATGGTCTCTTCCCAGATCTGGGTTTCTATGAAGAAAGTAATGTGAATGAAAAATGTGAAAGAAGAAAAAAGCTTTCCGTTTGAATAGTTTCCAACCCAAGTGGAAAAGACACACAACATTGACGCACACATACGTGCACAAAAAAACATATAAGCAAGTGAAAAAGAGTTCCGGTGTCAGCCTGGTGCTGATAGTATAAATGCCCCAATTAACCACTCACCATCCAGCTGCCAGGATGACCGGCACCGTTGCACAAAGTGTGATTCCAGCCAGCTGCCTCCATCGCCCTAGCACCTCCAGACACCCTCGGTACCCCTTGTTGTCACTCTGAATGGAGCTGAAAGGATCTTGTGTCACTTGGTGTTTTTACTGGCAAGCAACAAAAATTGACAGTTTGTCCTACATGGAAAGGGGAATCGTTGAAAGAACATGGAATGCCCAAAGAACCAGTGGAAGATTGGACACTCGTGAGACCACGCCCCCACCTGCTTAGCCCTGTGTAAGGTTGCTGTGGCAGTTACATCATCTCCTGTCAACTTGAGTGAAGAGGTGGACTCTAATGCCTCTGTGCGGTCATAGCCTTCTGGGAACTCCTGTCTTCCACCCTGGAGGCAGGACACACTCCCTCTCTGCTACACATTCTGTTGACAAGCCACATGACCCAATGCTGATGGCAGCCGGAGCCCTGGAGCTGGAGGAGCCACGTGGAGAGCCGCGCCAGCACTGA